TTTTTTTTTTTTTTTTTTATTCTTTCTTTATTCCGGCAGGGAATGTAAAGCCTCGCATTACAACGACGATAGAAATCATGATCGTTTTCTGTATTCCACCGTCGCGCATTACGCGCGTAATATAGATAATCCTCCTCCAATTTATACACTGCAGAAATGTATATTAGTAGAAGATGTTGAATTCCTTCGGAATGCACTGCAGCTTTTCGCGACAGGCGACTTTCGGAAGGGCAGGGGCGATCGTCACGTAATCCTTTGACTGCTAATGCATTGCGGTAAAGGCTGCAGCAAGTGCCGGACCTCACGTTTGGTAAATCAATGATGCTCCTTTCTGCATTCGTTCTTTTTCAGTGTCAAGGTAATCCCACGCCCCCGTGTATCCCCCCCTCCCCCCCCGAGAAATCTCTCGTGCTGTTTTGGCTCAATTTTTCACCTTGTGATTTATGACAAGCCGACATACCGAAATTTACACTTTCCGTTCCGCGTTATTTTACGTTCACCCCGGAAATCCGCGCCTTCGCCACGAAAAAAAAACGATGGCAAGTGCGAACAGAATTTTCCTCTATCGAGCGTGTGTATTCTTAGTCTCGTTAAATCTAAACGAAAATAATAATACGAACAGTAATATACCGTTGTACGTACACAAAACAAATTTAACGAGAGATGCAGATGTGGAGGTGTTCAAGTGTGTAAATGAGGAACGATTTTAGTATTTTCTTCCTTCTTACGTATTCAACATTATTCTCCTAATGTTCGAAATAACGGGCAAATTATTCGTCGCGATTCTATAATAAAATCTTGAAGTAAATACGTATATTAAAATGCCGCGTACTTCTGAAGATTGCAGATATGTTATTTTAATTGGCTGCATCGATCGCCGCGTTTCGCTTCATTGATCCGACCTCATCCGTGCCTTTTCTGCCACCAAATTCTGCCGGTTTAGCAGGAAGCGATCAAAGTGTATTGAATCCGCGGGATGAATAATTTATACGTATAATACAATATCGCCCGTTTAATATTCCACGTACCTATCTTCCAGCATGATACGCTCGTTTTAACGGCTCTATCCGATGGACACGCGTACTTCGTATGTTTTATCCCCGAGGGATTAGCGGGTTTGCGGTCCGACCCTGTCGTTACGTTTTCACTTTCCCACTTAGGCTCGCGCCGGCGTTACTTATACACGAGAGAGACTCCGAGAGGCTAATGATGTCAACGCGAGGAAAAAAAAAAAAATTGCCCGCCGACAGAAAAGTTTCGTCTTTTTCGCGAGTAACGAGAAGCATTATGCAAGACGGATCTCTTAGCTGGATAATAACAGTGAAGATTCAACTTCCTTACTCGGAAAATCTCGTTAGAATTGTGCTATAAGCCGTCGGGTACGCCTAAGCCTGAATTTTTTACGAGGAAGTCACATGTAAAATTTTCCAGACTTTTACACGCGCGTAAGATTCCCTCCGTTACTTTAGCGGAGTCATCGCGAATAGTAGATTGAATCACCGCTCCGCGAGGGGTCCGGGGAGGGAGAGAGAAGGAAAAAAGAGATTTGGATACTAACAAATCTTAGAATTGCGCGTCGGGAAAACGCGGAAATTGTGCCCGCTTGTGTAAGTGACAGTTACTGTACAAGGAACACAGATATAATCGCGTTATCGATTTAAGGTCCGAACGTGGCTGGCACGGCCTAGAACAGAAATAACTGAAAATACAGCCTTATCGTTAGCCAAGTCGTCAAGAGTGCAATCTAAAGAAATATCGTGTCCTGAATTACGTTAAGTTGATTGCTTCCCTTCGCCATTCGGGATATCATTTATAATGCAGGGATGATATTATCACGTAAGGGAGCACGCTGCTATATCTTATAAATAGCGGCCGGTTGGCGACTCGTGGTATATTCGAGGCGATTTATTTCCTATTTTTAAACAATAATAATTTACACGTAATGCGCGTTACCGTGTAGGAAAGATGGAAAAAAGCCGACGGTGCATACAAAGGGACATCGCCGGCGGTGGAGGAGCAGTCGCTGCGGAAATGGGGTTGAGAACCGCGGTCTTAAAACAGCACTGCGTGCCAGATCGATACTACAGCGGCTACCCTTAAGCTCTGAAATGTGGACCGAAGTGGACGCAAAATTCCGTGCTTTCATTGAAGTTTTTCCTTTCGTCGAGTCACGTATACACGAGCGAGTGATGGATATAAAATGAGGAATTTTTTTCCTCGTACGAGCCGCTCGATCGGCAGCAAGATCGTCCAGTCGAATCCAATCGTCGTCGTCGAAAGTTCCGCTGTCAGAATCTCATCGAATTGTCATCGGTTGTGACGGAGCTTCGTTAACTTCTGACAGTGGTGAACGAGCCCGTAACTCTATCACGTATGAGCCTCGGCACTCTAGAACTTTCTTTCGCCGCGCGAGTATCACAATCGACGTATCTAGCGCGAATGCATAATTTAAACGCGCGTACGGCGTAAATTGACGCGACGTAACGAAATGTACCGGTCTCCTTTTAACTTTGTATCATCGCCTGACCTGATTACCATTGTCGGGATGCCGTTTCTCCGTATATATATATATATATATATATATATATA